AGCCTCCATTTTCAACAAATGACCTACTCTCTTCCTTCATTGAGATGATTGGTGAACTTCTCAGCTTCCTTCTTCCATTCTCAGAACAGCTTCTGCATAATCACCTAATTTTTTTCCTGCTTCTCTCCAGTCACAGAAATAGTATCATTATTACTCCTCACTAAGACCAGTCCTTCTACCTCTTTCCCATTCCCTCCCACCTCTTCCTTGTTCTAATAATCACCCCTTCTCTCATGTATCTTCAATCTCCCTCTCCACAAGATCATAATCTTGTATCCCTTTCCATCTATCTTTAAGATGGCCATGTCTCTGAAATCCTAAGAAAAATCCTTTCCTTCAACCTTTCCATACCACCCACCCACCATTCAATCTTCTCAATTTCATTTCTAAATCATTTGAAAAGGGAAGCGTCCAACATAAACATTTCCTTTGTACCCAATTCCTCTTCAACTCCTTGCAATCTGGTTTTGGGTCTCATTCTCCAGTATATCAACAAATCCAATGATCTTTTTTCAGTCTTCATCTTCTTTGAACTCTGCAGCTTATCACACAGTTGATTATTCCCTCTTCTTTCCTCCCTGGGCTAGACACCATACTAATTTGGTTCTCCTCCTACTTCTCAAACAACTGATGCCGTCTCTGTCCTCTTCCCAACCTTTTATTGTAGACGTCTCAAAAGACTCTATTTTTAGCCTGTGTTCAAAACCCAACTTAGACCATTACTACCTCAGTGATCCCGGACAAATCACTTTATCTCTTTCAGACTCGGTTTTCTCAATTATAAAATGAGGATAATAATAATAATTAACGTGGGATTATTGTGGAGATCAAATGAGATAATAACAAAATTTCTTTGCAAATCTTAGTGTTATATAAATGTCAGGTATTTTTTTTTTATTGTTGTTCATTCTCTTCCTCAACAATTCCATTCATTCCTAAGGCTGCATGGTATATAGTAGAAACTGCTAGATTTGGAGTCAGGCAGGAGAAATCTCATTTGCAATTCTGCCTCTGACACTTAATACCTGTGTTATCCTGTGCAAGTCACTTAACATCTCCTAGACTCACTTTCTTCACCTATTGACTCATTTCCATTGATTTATGACCTCTTCAATGTGAGCACTCCTTCAAGAGGTACAGGTTACAATCCATTCATGCCTTCTCATCTGTGTAATTGTCATACATATCCTTCCACAAATTCTTTACAGGAAGTCCACTTAACACCCACTTAATTCGTGCCCTTGGGTCTCCAGATCATGCATATATAATAATGGGGCTTGAAAGCGCTCCATTGCTTTCATCCTTTGGCCAGTCCACTTATTTTTTCCAGTCATACATCTCTAGATATCCTCAATGCCACTTCTTTTGCATGATTCTGTGTCAGGAACAGGTTGCTCCCTACTCATGCCTACCATGCAACTTTCCAATGATGTTTGGATGGTGATCCACAACTTTAATTATTCATAAATAGTAGAATTTCATGACCTGCAGTCATTACAGGAAGTATAATGAAGTTAAAAAGATGGGCCTTTGTTTCAGGAAGAATCTTACTCAAAGGCAAAGACCATCTTTTGCCTTTCAGGCACTTAACAAAGCACATAGTAGGTATTTAATACATGTTTAATGAATGACAAAATGAATCTGGGGATCACTAAAAGGACTGTACAATTTCCAAAAGAGAGTCTTGCCTGCTCTCCTCCTCCAATTAAATTCTGGGCCTAGCTTATTATATCTTGGCAGTATCTGTCCAACATGTATGTATCAACAGGCCATTCTATAGATTATTTATCTAATTGTGTATATTGTCTGGACAACAGGCATTCTTTATCTACTCAATTTTTGGCATAATTAAGCCAAAATCTTTTGATTGTGGATCTAATTTAGGTGACTCTCTAATAGTCTGGGTATTGATGTGTTCCATAAGAAACAAAGGACGGATCTCACCATCTATGGAGAACCCTTCTTCCATTTGGATGCTGAGATAGAAACCTTTTTTCCCATTAATTTCTTCCCAATTAACAAGCTATTAGGGGGAAAAAAGAAAACAAAAACAAAAACCTTGTAACAAATATTGGGCTGGACATCTTCCATGACCATGGCAAACCCCTTGAACAGGCAAACATTTCCCCAGTTAAATCTCACTTAATATTAATAATCAGGATCATCAAACAAAGTTATTTATGTTCCAGCAAACTTTTTCATTCATAAAATGGGAATAATAATACTTACAGTTAATTATCATGTAGGATTATGGTTGAGATAATGTAAGTAAAGCATTTTACAAACCCTAAGTCATTATATGATCATCAGCTATAATTTTTATTCAATTTTCACCTCTGGGCAGACCACTCCCAAATCCAGACAGCTAACAAAATAATATTCCTAAAGCACGGATCTGACTGTGACTTCCCTGCTGAGTGAATACCAGGAGCTCATTATTATCTCTAGAATCAAATATGAAATCCTCTGTTCGGCATTTAAAGCAGCAACCTGCTTTTCCTCCCTTACTGAACTTTTACACACGCTAAGGTCCAGTAAAACCTGCTTTATTGTTGTTCCTCATTCATAAAGCTCCACCGCCCATCTTCATGCTCCCATGCCTGGAATATTCTCCCCCTTCATCTTTGCCAATTAGAATCCTTAGCCCCCTTCAGAGGTCAGCTCAAATTCCACTTCCAAACTGAGGCATTTCCTAGCACCACCAGCTATTAGTACCCTGCCCCCCCCAATTATTTTATATTTATTTCGTATAGATGCAAGAATAGGAAGCAAGGTGGTTTAATGGTTAGAGAGCTGGCCTTGGAGTCAGGAAAATGTGGGTTCAAAACCCACCTCAGACATTTACTAGCTGCGTGACCATGGACAAGTCACTTAAGCTCTCTCAGTTTTCCTTCAGGTTAAATGAAGGAAATAAATAATAGCACCCTTTTGTTAGCAAAGAACTAGAAACAAAGTAAATGCCCACTGATTGGGGAACGTCAAAACAAATTGTGATACATGATATATTATTGTGCTATTAAAAAAGAAAGGTAACATGAATATAGAAAAGCAAGGACTGCCATGAATTGATCTAAAATGAAAGCAGAGCCAAGAAAACAATAGACATGACTGCAACTATGTAAATGGAAAGAACAAGCACAACACAAGGGAAAATGAATGTTACAAAATTACAAAGAACAAACTTGGCCAGAGGAAGAGCTAATTGAAGACACCTCCTCCCACTCCTTTAAAAGGCAAAGATAGGGTCCACAAGTGAGAAACACTGAATATGCTGCCAGGTTTTTGTTTTTTTTCAATGTATTGATTGAGTTTGCTGATTGGTGTCTTCCTCTTTTTCTTAAAAAAAAAATCTCTGTTATGTAGAATGGCTTCTGGGGAAAATGGAACAAGAAATTTAGGTGATACAAGAACAAAATATATCATTGAAAAATTTTTTAAATAAGAAAATTAATATTGTGAAGTTGTAAAGAACAAACACGACCTCAAAGAAGAGATAAAAGAATACACCTCCCTCCCCACCCATTTACAGGAGTTGGGGGTCCACAAGTGAAAAACACTGCATATAAAGTCAGATTTTTCCCCCTTGTATTGATCAATTTGGAAAATTTTTTTATATTCTTTTTCTTTCAAAAATTCTTTGTTACTATGGATTACTCTTGGGGAGAGGGGATGATTCAGGGGGAAATATAGACTATATAAAAACAAAAGATATCAAAATCTATTTAAAATCAAAGTGCCATATAATTGTTAGCTATTGTTTTTGTTGTTTGTCCTTCCTTCCAGAAGACCATGAAGATGATGATGATGATGATTACATATTGTCTCCTCCTCCCCCACAGAATGGAAGCTCCTTGAAGGCAAAAACTGTTTAATTTTTATCTTTGTAACCAAAGGTTACAAATAAAGGTTTGTGGATTGACTAATGGAGCCATACTGCCAATCCTAGTCTCACTTAACAGGAGCACAGAATTTTTAATTTAGAGGGAGTTTAGAAACCTAGTCCAAACCATGCCTGAACAACAAGAATCCCCTTTATTACACATCCAGCAAATGGGACTCTTTGTATCCCATTCCAATTTTGGATAGTTTAAACAGACAGCTTTCTCTTTTACATCAAACTAAAATCTGCCCCTCCCCATACCTTCTCCCATGGATTCTTTGCTCCACCGTCTGGTGCCATGCAGAAAGTCCAATTCCTCTTCCATTTAATGGCTCTTTGAATACTCGAAGCCAGTTTTCCTATACCCATTGAAATTGCCTATTATCCAGCCTAAACATCTTCAGTTTCTTCAACCATTCCTAGTAGCACTTTATAATAGCTAGCACTTATTTCTGTTGTTAGCCGTGTCTAACTCTTCGAGGACCCATTCGGTGTTTTCTTGGCAAAGATACTGCAGTGAAGAGGAGAGACCTGAGACAGGGAGGTCTTTAATTAGGAGACTAATGCAATGGTCCAACCAATCAACAAGCATTTATTGAGCACCAACTATATACCAGGCAAGGTGCTAGGAACTGGGAATAGAAAGAAGTGAAACAATTTCTGCCCAGATGGAGCTTACATTCAGAGGAAGGAATCGGAAAGGCCTTTTACAGAAAGGTAGCACTGGAGGCGAGTGTAGAAGAGGATCGGGAATTCTAGGAGGGGTAGGGAGAAGAGTGAGTATATTTCAGCCACGGGGAGTCGCCAGGGCAAAGGTGGGTAGATGGGAAATGCGGTGCTGTGGATGAGGCACCCTGAGTCAGACTGAGAGCTGGCTGTGAGTGGAAGAGGACTCCTCCATGAAGCCTTCCCGGATGCTCCAGCGCTAATGCCCCACCTCCCCCCATCACCCAGCCCTGGGTTCTGGTCTCGGGAACACTCGACCGGGAGGAGTGTTTACCTCGGCCTAAGACGCGCTCCGTGCCCCTCCCCCCATCAGGCACGGAGCTCCCTGCGAGCAGGGCCCGGAGACCCCGTGGGCAGAGAAGCTCCTTGACCTGCCCCGCCCGCCCAGACTCACCCACTGCCTGCGAGCCTGCAGGCGCGGAATCCCAACAGCCCGGTGCGGCCTGGACGTGACGATACGGCCCTCCTGGTGGGACCTGGCTTTGTCCTGGGACGGAGGCGAGCGGAGGAAGGTGCCTCGGCCCCACCCCACCCCCTGCGCCAGGGGAAAGAGCTACAAGCGAGGGGGGCCACCGAGACCGTGACTCCTCCTGGAGGCCTAGAGCGGCCCGAGGCCAGCCGAGCGCCCGGATTGGGCGGCTCCCGAGGGCGGGGTATCGGGGCAGCACTTCCGGCCGGGGAGGGCGACCACGGGAGGGGTGTCGGCCGGCAGTGCGCTTCAGCAGGTCAGTCTCCGGCTGCGGAGCCGCCTCCGAGTCTGCTCCTCCTACGCCGCCCGGGAACAGAGGGTGAGTCCGGCCCGTGCCCGAGGCCCCCGGAGCGGAGGGCGAGCCCGAGCGGGGTGGGAGAACGTCCGGGGAGGGAGCCCCGAGGGGGAGTGCGCCCGCTACCCGACACCCCGGCTGGGGCCTAACCCCACGGGCCGTGGCGACGCGACCGCCCCGCCCGCCGTCTCCCTTCATCCAGTGAATGAAGCTTGCAGTCCTCCAGCCTCCCAGATCTTCTTCGCGCTCGTTAGCCGCCCCATCCCATCTTGCAACACAAGTGCAGGACTTTCCATTCATCTTTAAATTTCAGGTTCTTTTTGGGACGAGGTTCTAGTCTGTCAGGATTTGTTTGGCTCCAGCGTGTTAGCTCTGTAATTCATCAGCAAACGTGATGAGCCTGTCATCATCTATTTCTTTCTCCATATTAAACAGCTCAAGTCACAGGTCCCTGGGGCCCTCCGCTAGAGACCTTCCAAGTTGGTATCAACTACTCCTAACTATTCTTGAGACCCCCTATTTTTGAATCCACCCAGTTGTACCATCATCTCATCTAGCGAACATCTCTTCGTTTTGCCCACAGGGATAGCTTGAAAGACTTTAATGATGCTTTCTGTTAAATCTCCATAGGTCTGGCGTTGCTTTGATCTGCCAGTCTAATAACCCTGTCAGAAAAGGAAATGTTAGCCTGTTAGTGATGCCATCCATGCAGGTTCTTTGTCCTCGCCATTTCTTTTTCTAGCAATTAAGTAACTATCCCATTAATAATGTAGTCTGTAGTTCTCCCACTTGTTCAATAGATGTTTATTTTTCTCTGCAACTGATATATATTTCTTTCACTACTTTTTCCCCATTTAGTTACTAGTAATATCAATATCTATAGCTAGCATTTATGTATCAATTTAAGGTTTACGAAGTTCTTTATTTGTTATCACATTTTATGGTTGAGGAAACAAGTAAATAGTTAAGTGACTTACAGATAGTAGGGCATTTTATAAGACAATTTAAGATTTAAAAAGTTCTTTGTTATCTCCATCCTTTTACATTTGAGGAAATTGAGGGAGGTAGAGGTTAATGACTTGCAGATAGTAACACATTTAGATAGCATTTTATATATGCATTTATGTAGCATTTTAAGGTTTGCAAAGTGCTTTATGTGTTATCTCCATTCTTTTACAGTTAAGGAAACTGAGGAAGATAGAGGTTAATAGACACACAGATGAGTATCTGAGGCAATATTTGAGCTTGGGTCTCGCTGACTCCCTAATCTATCATTCTATCCACTACCTACATATGATCTGATGTGAGATAGAAACTGAATTCACTTTTTCTACTCTTTCATCCAATTTTCAACAGGATTTATTGACTTTCCCATTAAAGCTCTATTTTGACACCCCATCATTTCATGAATGTGACCCAGGGTTCTAGTAAAGTAAAAACTTTGGCAGGTTATATCGAGCATGAAAAACTTCAACTACCTCTCTAATGATGGAGGTGCCTATGTAGGTTCAGAAGGAATCATCACTTGATTAGCTCTGCATAGAAACAGCGTGCTGTAGTGCAATGGTCTTAAACTCAAATAGAAACAAATGTCTGCCTGCAGCATATTGACTTAGAAAACCGAAATTAACATTACCTATGTTTTATTGTATTTTTACTTATTTTGTTAAACATTTCCCAATTATATTTTAGTCTGGTTCCTGTTGCACTGTAGTTTGACCCTTCTGATGTAGTGGTTAGAATGCTAGGCTCAGAGTCAAGAAGATCTGAGTTCAAATATAGTCGAAGAAACTTAACAGGCTGTATGATCCTGATCAGGTCACTTAACCTCTCTGGACCTCAGTTTCCACAACTATGTAATAAGATTGTTTGCCGCAGTGGCCTGTAAGTTCTCTTCTAACTCTCAATCTATGATCTTAAATATATACAAAATAAAAACAAGATAAAGGGTAGGGGAGGGATGTACTAGCAGGTGAGAGAATTAGAAAAGACCAGATGTAGAAGATACCACTTGAGCTGAATTCTGAAAAAAACTAGATAATTTAAGAGATGAAGGTGATGAAGGGAACCCATTTTAGTGATGAGGACAGCCTGTGCAAAGTCCTGGAGATAGAACAGCTGGTGTTTTGTGTAAGGAATAGCAAAGCCAGGCTGGCTAGACCCGGAGTGCACAAAGGAGAGTAATTACATATAAATAGACTGGAAAGATGTGTGAGAGACAAGTTGCAAGGAACTTTAAATGACAAAGGGGTTTGTATTTGATCCTAGAAGTCTTAGCGAGCCAGTGCAGATTATCGAGTAGCAGAGTGATTAGGGATTTAGGAAAAGTATTTTAGCAGCTGTCTAGGGGTTGGATTGGAGAGTGGAAATATTTCAGGCAAGGACACCAAATAGGATGCTATTGTAGTCATCAAGGTAAGAGGTGAGAAGGCCATGAACTAAAGTGATAGATGCCTTGTGAGTAGAGCAAAGACGAGGACTCAAAGAAATGTGAGGTTGGAAATGGCAAGGCTTGGCAACTAATTGATTATTTGAGTGAGGGAGAATGAGAGTCAGGAACTATTCCTAGGAAATAATGAAAAGTGGAAGAAAACAAGGGGGCCTAGCAATAACAGACTTCATAGAGAAACTAATAGGCAAAATAATAGACAAACTGTATTACAAAACAGTAATCATCTAAACCAAAAGTATCAAATCCCAAAACTTGGGGGAAATGTAATTGGGAAATGTTTAACAAAAAAAGAAAATACAACATGACATAGATAATGTTAATTTGTGGTTGTTTTCTAGGCCAGTATGGGGCCCTCAGGCACCTGTTTCTATTTGAGTTTGACATCGCTTATCTAAGCAATTTGATACTCATTAAAAAACAGAGAAGTCAATCAGTGGAACAGCTTTGGTGTACAGCATACATAAACAAACAGAGACAGCAGTGTAGTGCTCAATAAACTCAAAGACCCCCAGTTACTTCAGTAAGGTGTCACTATTTGACAAAAACTACTGGGAAAACTAGAAAGCAGTCTGACCAGAAATTGGTTATAGATAACATCTCAAACTGTATAGCAAGATAAATTCCAAATGGATACATGACTTGGGCATAAATGGTGACATAAGCAAATTAGAGGAGCAAAGGAGAAATTGCCTTTTAGATCTTTGACTCAGAGAAGAGTTCATGATCAAACGAGGATAGAGAAAATCATAGAAGATAAAATGGACAGTTCTTAATCATGTAAATTTTTAAAGTTTTTTACATAAACCAATGAAGTTAAAATTAGAAGAGAAATAGGTAAATGGGGAAAAAAATCTTTACAGCAAAATTCTCTGATAACATTATCTCATATATGTGTGTATATATACACACATACACACACATATCAGCATTGCTTTAAATTTATAAGGACAAGAACTATTCCTCAATACTTAAATGATTGAAGGACACAAACACGAAGTTTTCAAAAGAAGAAATCCAAGCTATCAACCACATAAAAATGCTCCAAATCACTTATTATTAGAGAATGCAAATTAAAGCAACTTGGACATATCATGTCACACCCATCAGACAGGGAAAGATCCCAAAATTTAAAATGACAAACAGAAAACAGGCACACTGTTATACCCTTAGTGGAATTGTGAACTCATTCCAGGCGTTCTGTAAAGCAATTTGGAATTATGCTCCCAAGGACACTGAATTGTACATTATCTCCTCAGGGAAATTATAAGCCATCAGTGTGTTCCAGTGATTAAATCACTGAATATTACAGTAGGATTTGAAGAAGGGAGAAAAAAGATGATCAACAGAAAGGCACAAAGTGGTCAAAGACCATAGAATAGTAAAATTTAAAAGGAGGAAAGGGTCTTTGAGACCAAGTGTCTAATTCTTTCATTTTACATAGGAGAATACTGAATATGAAAGTCACAAAGTGTAAAAGTTGAAAGTATATAATTATAAGGGTGTTTCAGATGAGCTATCCAGTGATAGTGCTATTACATCTGCATCCCAAAATAATCAAAGAAGGAAAAAAAGGACTCATACCTATGAAAATATCCATGGCATCTCTTTTTTGTAGTAGGGAATGTTAGGAGTGCCGTAAAATTTCAGCAAAAGAACTAAAAGAAAGATACATTGAAAATCGAAGGAGAAAGCCCTCAGATACAAAGTGACATTTCTCAACCCTAAATGGGTAGGAAGCCAAAATACCTTAATTGCATGAAAAGGCCGTTAAGACTATACACAAGGAAGAATGGCTGTAGTACTGGCCAGCCTTATCACATCTCCTTGCCAAGTGATCACCCCAGAGCCCCAGCTCTGAGGAAGAAACTTCTGCTGAGCATGAACTGTGGGTAGTTCCCAATCTAAAAAAGCCTTGAAACACTCCATCTGAAGAGACCACAAAACCACTCAGTGTTTGAAGTTTAAAATATTAAATATTACAGCTGCCCATCAAAGAGCAGCCCTGGGAGACCAGCGGACCCATCCAGCAGAGATGCTAAACAGTGAAAAGAGCCCAGTAGTAGAGCAACCTGCCTTGGCCCAGCCTGGCTACAGCTGCCTATCAGTAAAGTGGCCTGCCCTATCTGGGAGTCATCTGCTTAGAGATGATATTTAAATCTATGATAGTTGATGAAATCATGAGGAGAGTATAGCAAGAGCCTAGGACAGAGCCTTGCATGCGTCCATGGTTAAGGAGTAGTGACTTGGATAGCAGGATTACAAAGGAATTGTTTATATTTAAATAGTTACAAAGATTTTTGTTTGTTTTGTTTTGTTTTTTACATTCATGGACCTCAGGTTAAGAACCTCTGTTTGGGAGAAGATGCTCAACCATGTCAGAAGATGAACACTGAGAAAACTA